AATATCTTATATGTGAATTAAATAAAGCTGATTTGATAAACGGTGCAAACCAGTGATAATTTTATTTATGGCTGCGGCTTCGATAGCCATCTAGCACCGGTATCCCAATATTATTCTCGAAAGTACTCCTAGAGTAGACATGACTCATTTCATGATTGAAAAACGCTTACAGCCTCATCATCCATTCTTTTGCATTATTATTTGTATGTCAGCTTCTTTAAGCCATTTTATCTAACCGGCCTAATAGACCGTTGGGTGCATAATGCTGTCTAACCATGACAAGCTCCAGAGGCCGACTCAAAGAAGAAGCGGAATACAGAAAAACCTCTTAGCCAGTGAGCAAGGATTCTGACGAATGGCCAAAAACAGGATCCTTGTGTAATTAATTTAGTCGCTTCATTCTTAAAACTCCCAAAACTGAGGTGGATCTCAAGTATCCGCATATATTAACGCTATAGAGTAGAATGAATATATTCCTTTTATTTATTTGAGCCAAGTGAACTGACAGAGCAGAGAACTTCATGCAAGAACACAGCAAGTGAGATGAATTTTTACCTTTGTGTGACAAATCTCTGCATTTCCGGGTGCATCTGAACCCGGTTTTCTAGCACCGACGATCAAGGATCGGGCAAACCAGCGTGGAGCAGTAGCCGCATAATGCACAGCAGTAGCTCGCTGCCCACGACCCAAGATACACGTCGGCCCACCGTATGCAGAGGAAGGAGTTGAGGGAAAAGAGGGTGTAAAAATGGGCAAAGCGGAGGTGATAGGAGGTGTTAGTAAAGCCGAGAAGGTTTGTGAAGACCTGGCAGATAAGGCAGCCGGGGAGGAGGTTGTGGTGTCACGGAGAGGCGAGGAAGAGAATTGCAGGCCGGATCGAGAGGCTAATTTCTCGGATGGACCAACTAGATCGTCTCCTTGAGCGCAACCCGATGCCTGTAAAGATGACAGTGAATTTTGAGTGGTATTTAAGTAGAACCTGGTACCAGCTGAAGAGAGGTTCCAACGAACTCTGCCAATCTGGGGAGTTAGAGCGTTCTCTACTTCACTGCAGACGCCAAGTCTAAATTCAAAGAAAAGTGGGGCCGATTTATTAATAATGGAAAATAAATCTGCTGGGGAAGAAAAGTAAAGCAAGCAAAGTGAATAAGTCCAGAGGGCTAGAAAACAGGTATAGACTCTTTTTTTTATATGGTTGATTCGCATTATCGTTTGCAATGAAATCATTGTGTATTTTTCAATGAAGACCAAAAATATCACTCCAATGAAGAGCTATGAAAGTAGCGGAAAGGTAGTGAATCCCATATTTTAACTATATTTAGAAGGCGCATTTTTATATATTCGCCAGAAATGTGTTATAATTATACTCATGTGATCGGTTCCACATAAAACTGGTCATATAGCGATGAGCTGATCAGAGTAAGGAAAACCTACGGGTTTACCTTATGTTCTACCATTAACGCAACGAGCCGAAGTATAAAACAGCATTTAAATATAAATAGGATTATGCAAATAGCAAAATTTTATTCTTCGTGGTGAGCTGATATCTAAATAACTTTAAGAAAAATGGCCGCAAAAATAGTTGTTAATTGTCCGAAGGGATGAAATAATTTAATGCATCCAAATCTGGCTGAAACAAATGAAAACAAAGTACGTGAACCCAGATAAACATGCAACAAGAAGATTCCGTTGCAGTTTAGGCGACTACTTCTGGCACACAAATAGAGTGCGCCACATGAGGAAGAAGTGATTATAAAATGTAATGGAGCTAGTGAACGACGATCTGATTGTGTGATATCCACTGAGAAAATCGATTTAATAAATAGTGGTTTTAGTGGTAAGACGCATCTCATACAAGGAGATAAAATACATGTGTTTATGATCTAACTACTGAAAGGCAGTGAAAACAGAATCACTCATCACAAAAAGTAAACTTGAAAAAAGATTAAACAGTGTCTCGAAGGTAGCAGTATGAAAAGCCAAAGTTC